GAGAGTTACTAACAATGTCGTGTTGCTTATGAGTGGGTGAATAAAGACAGTACTGAAAGCAATAGTGTGTTAAACATACTAATGGTGTTTCACAGGGCTTCATTACTGCAACAACAAAAAATATCTTATCAATTTGTGCCTGAATTGACTCGTAATTTCAGTGGCTTTTCTTCCCAACAATGCAGAAGACAATACTTCAGACCAGAGGCAAATGAGACAGCATTTCTGCAGCACTCAAGACTGCACAGCACCACAAAAGCTGACAATATCTTTATAGCTTGTGTGGGGGAGAGATGTGTGTAACCTGGGCTTGCATCCCAGGAAAAGATGGATCACCAGTCTCTGGCAAAGCAACAACTGTGCAACAAGCATTCAAAGTGTGCTCTTTTCTGCTCTAACTGGATTTTACTGCAGCGAATTGCCAATCAATGCCATAAAAACTAAAGCAGAATTGCATATTCTTTGACCCATGATACAACTTTACAGCTCAAGAGATTAATGCCCCACCAACTCAACATTTTCAACTAAATCGTAGCCACAAGGGGAAAAAAGAGGTAATATTAACAATTTGCACGCACAAAAATAATTCTGGTGGCCAGCTCACAACTCAGATGTATTTGCCCCCACGAGAAATGACCCAAGCTGGTCCACATATTGGGTGAATGGATCAATACTGACTATAGAAGCACAAATCCATTTCAAATCCTTTGCTTACTCTATGGCATTTCAAGTAAACAACAAGCTTTCAGAAGAACAACTATCGCGCTTCAATGTTTGAACAAGCAAATAAAACAGCAACATGCTTTAATTCATGATATTTACAGATACAGTGTAGGTCCGGGAGTCAAAACACAGGTTTGTTGCAACATTAACTGCAAACCTTTCCCCACAGCTACTAATAAAGCAGCATTTAAATATTTCTCAGGTTCACTGTGCCTCTGAAACACTGCTGTCAGTGTAGACTGCAACTGCATTTTGCTTCCTGTCCAAATTTTCTACCGACATGGGCTCCAGATGATGCTTCTTTCTCCACCAGCGTGATACAAAATATTGTACGAAACACACCTATTACAGTTAGGTTTTAATAATACAGGTGATAAAATGAAATCTTTCTGTTTTTCCTGGAGACTCTCGTGTGTTGCTGGAGCCTCCCTCCAGCACTTTAACAAGCCCATCCCCCATCATTCAGGTGGACCACTTGGAATAAATCTCAACCCTGGGAAAACCCTGTGTGATGGCTTGAACTACAAAGAATCTCAATCTCATCTAAATCTGTCAGTGTGCACTCACCCCTGCACAAGAGACATCAAGAATTTCATATGCTTCTCATTTAGCAGGTCTGTTATTATACTTTTTTTAAAGATATTTTTACCAGAGTAGACACCAAGAATGCATTAAATATGTGAAAAGACATTCATAAATGGCTTAATTCAAGTGATTTAAAAAAAAAAAAAAAAAAGGTACTTTAAAAGGATATAGTCCAAATCCTTTCGGAGTTTGCCATCAGCTGGTGTGCAGCCATGAGATGACGGGAGCCTTACAAAGCCAAAATAATCCCCTTGTCCTGGACTAATCTGTTTCCCTGGACCTCTGAACAAACACTGTTTGTTTTAAGGTTAAACTCTCTTCTTACACAGCGTTTGTTGGATGTCCATCCTGGTGTGGAACAGGTTTTAAAAGGTGAACAGTTGGGCAAAATTAACCCAAAACAAAATGAGAAACTGGTTTCTGCAGGTCCCTGAATCATAATTCCTTCCAGTCATGTATATCTACAAAAGCACTGAGTAAAAACTATGGCATCATCACATACATAAGTCCATTGTATTAGGAGTTGTTTCTATACTCCGAGCAGCTCAATTATCTCAAAAATCACATCTGGTGAATAAGAAAATAGGGGTTTCCTCAAGTGGCGTTGTGCTCATGTTCAGCCTGGGCCCGCATCCAAGCACTGGCCAAATTTACACAACTCTGACTAAACTATAAAATGTCATGTTATTGTGTGGAGCTTAGGGTCTTAAATTTCACTTCCACTTTGCAATTGATGGCTCTGTCAGTTTGTGTAAAATGGGCCTGGCGTGCTACAGCTAAGCTCCGTTCAACTATCACCACTAAAAATGACCAATAAAAACCTGTAATCAGATAATGAAGAACTGCTTTTGAAGCAGCTCATTGTAAAAAAGAATAATTTTCCTAGTAAAGATGAGAAGGAACAAACGTTTGTTCTGAAGGAATATTACAATTATTAACATTAACACCAGTTTCCTAACATTTTTGTTTGCCAGATACATCGATTGACTTTTGAAGGCGAAGTGAAATTGTCTGGGCGTGACGTTGCTATATTATTATGTTTTGAATTGATTTCAGTGAGAAACATATAGAGAATAATAAGTAATATGACTGAAGATGAACCCTCTCACATGTATGAAATCAATACAGAAGTCAGTCGGTAATGAATCAATACCGACTAAGACCCTCACAGCCCGGGTGAAAACCTTGCATCATTTATAGGAACAGCTTACACATTAGAGTAGCTCGAGTAACATTGATCCTCTCATTGTGCACCAGACCCAAACATGGCTCGATTAGTTAAATGGTTCAAATACTGGAATAGTTAATCGCAACACTTAATTTGTAACAGACTCTGAATGTCCCAACTTTTAATTATGCCCACATGCCTGTTTGTGTTGTCCACTGCTATCTACAGTTTACATTCCTAACTGTACATCAGTTGAAATCTCTACCCAGTCAGGCTACAATGGCTGCATACCAAGCCTTTACCTCGAAGAACCCAACTGCTAGTGTCTGCTGAGACGTTGCAGAACAAAACAACCCCACATCTGCTGCTGACTGGATGGAAAGAACTTCCAATGTGAGCATATTACCAAATACAACATAAATACATGGCACAAATGAGACACATTTACTGCATGGCACACTGGAACAAAGTGGATTAACAGTACAGTGTTGCTACAATTGTGTGTGGGAGGGCCTGCATTTATCTTTATGGTTTTCTTTTATCAGTTTCATTAGCGCGGGGTTTTTGCCACGTCCAGAAAATGGAGCTGCCAAAATGCAAAGTGGCCGAACTGGTTTTGAAAATTAACTGCAGCATTAGCCGGGAACGCTTAAGGGCTCTTTAGAAAGTAAAGTGTCTCCCTGCCAAATATCCAAAGTTTCCTTTCTGTCTTGGTTACTGGTGTGTTTATCTGAACACATTCAGACAATAGGTGGTTCACCAGCTCATCAAAATGCTTGAGTTAACAGCGAAAGCAAAGATTTCAATTAAATGAATAACAATGAAATAAAGTCTGATGGCAACTCTGATCTCTATTCACGGACAAAATTAGCCAAATCTTTGGTGGGTAATGCACTGTAGCCATGTACGATCAATAACTCAATATGTTTTGATCTGTTTAGACAAAACATCTAAAAATGTTCCCTTGGATCTGGGAAATGGGACTGGGCCTTTTTTTTCTACAATATAATTTACCAAATGACAAATCAATGGGATGAATGGACTAATTGTAAATTCCAAGTTGCAGCACTAAAAACAGGTAATGGATATAGATCTCCTAGATTTGTTTTGTTCAAACCATCGTGACCAAACATGGTCATACTTTACAAAGCTGACACTGTCTATTTATCCTCTGAACATTAAGCTAATATTGACACGTGCATTGAACTAGCTTATTCTTAGGTATGAATCTACTTCATGCTAAAACTGAATCTGTTGTTGTCACTGTGAGATAATGATTACGACTCACTGAAACCAGCCCATTCATTTAGACACACCAGATGGTGGATTTAGCAGTTACATCGTCAGCTCTGAGCAAGTCGCACATGGAAAAACGGAAATTTGCAACACAATTTGTTGGGAACAACCAATCACATTCACTGAGGTGTTGGCAGTGGACGCAGTGGACTTGATTCCACTGCGGCAACCAAATATTTCCCTTTATCCAGAAAAAACCTGTAATTTTTCCTGTGTAAATTCAGCAAATTCAACTTTTGATGAATACTGCTCCATTTTTTTTTTTTTAAACCTGTAGGCGATCGTTACTTATACACTAAATTAAGAATGTCACAGGGAAACATAAGAGATCATTTCCCTGAAAGTAGACTTTAATGTGGTACAGTCTCACTTTATGAAGCAGCACAGGCCACAGAACAGAGCCCAGGGTTAACCTGTAGTGGTCTTGTAAAGAAAAAGAAAGCTGTAATTGAATGACTCACTTCACTGAGATTGAAAAACTCCAACAACACAAGCCAATGAAAAGAAAATGACTAATCTGGACGGAAGGGTCCCAATATATTCTCCCCCCCATGTCACAGATCCCAAACTACAAAAGGTTTATTAGACCAGAATCCACCATTTCATGGGATCTTGTTTCCTGAAGTTGCCCCAGACTTTGCTGTACAGACACACACAACACCAGGGTAGTGGAAGTGAAACACATTGTGTTGAAACCTCAATTGCTGGGTGGAAAAACATGACATTTTTGGGGGTTTTCTTCAAGTCCTCGGTCTCCAGCTTGGGAAACACTGTACATCCAGCACACTGGAGGAATCTGCTGCTTTAACTCTGCACAAGTGGGTTTTTTTTTTCTTTTCTGTGGTTGTTATCTAACAATTTGACTTTACAAGGAACTAATATAAATGCAGGACAGGCTGTGTGTGTGTGTGTAGGGGGGGGGGGCGACTGGCCGTTAGCACACACTGGGAGCTAGCTAACTTTGCGTTTTTACAAGGCACCACTTTACTTCAAGGGGCTAAGCTAAGTTAGCTTCGTGTGCTGAGCTAATCGGACTCGTAAGCTAGCAGGCAGAGTGAAACAATGAGCCCAGAGTGCGAGCAGCCAGGCTCGGCTAGCTGCACGCTGTGTGCTGGCTACACGGAGAGAAGCTAACCCGCCAGCCCTCGCACGCAAGGGCTGGCGTTAAATGGCTGGCGAGTCGCTGCATGATCAACAATAAGAGACGGGAGGAAATGGAGCAACTTACCCACTTAGCTAACCACTCCTATCCCAACCCCCGCTCCGGCCATGGCGGCGAGCGCGCCGTGAAAACAACCGCCTGGATTCACAATAAACCCTCTGGAGAAATGTGGAGCGGTGGAAAGCGGCGCACTCCCCGAGACATCCAGCACAAGAGGAGAAGAAGAAGGAGGAGGAGGAGGAGGCGGCTGAGGAGGAGGAGGAGAGGCCAGCGACTCACTGGACTTCTGCCATCACACTAAAGAGACAGCGTCCGCTCCGAAGGGGACGACCCGGTCCGGGGGAACATCGTTATCGGTGCCCGAGCTGACTCCGGTCCTCCGCGGCGACCCTGTGGCGATTAATCCCGCAGAAGGCAGCGTCTCCTCCGGGTTAGCTCCTCGGTTCCTCCGCGTCCAGCGATGCTGCTGCTTCGTGTGGGAACCGATACAATGTAGCCGAGCAGCGGGAGAGGGAGCCAAAGCCAGGAGCGGCGGATCCGACCGGACTGAACCGTCACAGTCCAGAGAAGCCCCGGGTTTAAAAAAAAAACTGGAACTGGATCCACCACTGTGGATCGGGGTTTGTTTTTGTTTGTGTCTGCAAGAGGAGGAAACCCCGGCAGAGCGTCCGCATGTAGGGAGGCCGAGAGGGCCCAACGCACCGGTGGAGAGAATACATGCAAACAGACGAAAAGAACCACACGAGCAAAAAAAACTCAGGAAACATTATGTCATCAATTTTTTTGACGCCACGTGCAGATACAGAAACGAGCTGCAAAGTGTGAAAACGACACCGGACATGTTTCCATTGGAACCAAAAAAAAAAGAAGAAAGAGATGAACCTGGCTGTAGTTCAATGCTTTGAGAAGTTCCATCACCAATGACGGGAGGCAGACTTCGACAAGCGTTGAACTACAGCCAGGTTCATCACTCTTTTCGGTCCCCTGGGAACATTTCCTGGTTCCTTGTTGTGACATTTGCAGTGCGTGTGTCGTCAAACTGATGAAGTTGTTTTCTTAATCTCCACAAGTCTTTTTCAATTTGAATGTGTTCTCTTAATTCGAGCACTCTCTGCCACTGCACAAATGGCGTCAAATGCGTTGAGTGGTCAATGACAACAAATAAATAATACTTGCTTTAACTTAAAAACGGTTGGTGATGGTAAAAAACATAAAACAATGTAGATGACAGAAAAGGGAAGATAAAGGTCAATGAAACACAGAATACTGTGTATACATGCTCTCATACAAACACATACATCTATATAGAATTCTAGGGACACTTGTTTTATGGATCAGTCCATGAGGTTAATGGGAAGAACAATTTTTGGGTTGTGTGCAAAAACAGTTTTACACATTTACATTGTCATAGTGGCATAACTGTATTTATTGATTGGATTCTCACTATGTAATGAGCCTGATCAAACACAGACATGCAATACATCAATAACCTATTGATAAATGTTTTCACAGGTTTCATTTTTGATTAGTACATTTTTCCATAGACCTTATCCAGGAGGGAAGTTGCTGAGTGGTCTTCATGATGAACCAAAGAGCTCATCAACAGATGAAGCCTCATGCCGCAGGAGGATAAACAGCAGCCACAGGGATGTGTCACAACCTGGCAACCCAAACGCTGATCATTATGATTATTAAACATTAATGAAGCTGTAGATTTCTCTGCTGTTGGTGCAGAAATCCATACATGGATATGACGTATCATTAACGTGGTGAATAATAAACACTTCATGTAGGATAATCCGTGACATGCTGTAATGGCGAACACACTTTTTAAGGTAGTTACCGATATCATCTGTTCATAATTGCTGTTTCATGTTCCCTCAGCCGTATCAAATGTGTGTCTCGTTGAATGTCAACACTTTTAAATCAGTAAAGAGTCTGATTAGACGGAAGAAAACAATGCTGCGGTCAAAACTTGATCTTCACGCTTCAGGGTGAATGGAACATGTTACTGTTGTGTCTGCCTATGAGCCGTGTTCTAATTTCACTGAACTGAATCTATTAACAAACAACCAAGGGGGAAATTCTCAGGAAACAGCGAGCGAGTAAAAGCAAAGAAAGAAAAAAACATCCAACAATAAGACCTTTTCAGATATGTCACTATAGCGACTCTCACAGAACCGTGGATAACCTTTCATGTTTTCCAGCTTCAAACACCACGAAGGTTTTAAGTCGTTGTCTTGCTCAGCGCTGGTTTCCCAGGCAACAGGAATATGATAATGTTGCCTTTGACATGACAGAAGGAATCATCTCGCTAACAAACAGAGACAACAGGCACAGGGAGAGCTGGGGGGAGGGGGGGCTGAATTAATGGACTCATTTTCACACAGAGGCAAAAGCAGCAGCAGCAGCAGCAGCAGCTACCCACCATCCTCCATCTTTCTCTATTGCTTCTGATGCATTCCTGCTGGCAGGCACACTCATGTCTTCCCAAGGGAACAGCCAGCTTCCATTGGAAAGCTAAATAACAGTCAGTGGCTGGTGGGGACCAGAGGGGACAGCTCTCTGATGATGACTGCTCTTCAAGGCCGAGACTCCAAACCAAGCACTCTCGCCGCTGAGTGTTACCCCGACTAAAACCTGGAATGAACAAGCTGTGTCGAAGCCATATGTTTTCCATCAGGGAAAAAAAGGGCTAATCAGGCAGCCATGTGGAATCACAGAGGGGCTGGCTCGAGTCGTGTGATCGTCTTTCCATTACTCTATAAAAGAAACTGTAAAGCCTTGAAGCCCATCGAAAAGAGACTTGTTCTTCAGCATGTTTAGATTAAGGATCTGTCGACTGACAGCAACGTAACGCATTCATTAAAGGCAGGAGATTAAGGTGGTGCTAAATAATGTTACTACAAACAAACAGATACCACCTTTATTCCCTTTTAGTCAAGTCAGCAGCTGGTCTTTAGTGTCGGTCTTTGTCACGTTGGTCCATGATGAAATGTTTCACTGCTGGTTGGGTTTCTATCAAACTTTGACCAGATGATCATGGTCCCAAGCGGATGCATCCCAGTGTCTCAGTGTTCAAGTGATCCACTGACTTGTCCTCTAACGTCTCCACATTTTCGGTTTTGACTGGACTATCTCAACAATTCAACGCAGAAGTTTATGATCCCCAGTGGATGAACCGCAACGACTTCTGGAAATCCCCATATCAACTTTATAAATGTCAATGTGATATGATTTTGGAAAAAACGTTAATAGCTCTACGAAGCTATGCTGGTGTAAGAATCATCAACTTTAATTAAAGATGGACAAAAGAACTTTAACCCAAACATAAGACAGTCAACTTTATTGTTAAATCTGCCATAAGTACAAAACGTAGACAGTTTCTCTCTGATCGACAGTGTCAATATTTAAGTAGACAGAACATATAAGTACAAATGACAGAACATATGAGTAAGCAAGATATTAAATACTGAAAACATAGTATACAGTACAACATAGTATGCAGTCATAAGGCACATGGGGGAGGATGAGAGTAGTGCAAACTGGAAGAGTGTAAAAACTACTTAATGAGAAGTAATGTAATGTACATTCACAGTGTGTAATAAAAGCAGTTAATAGGGATGGAGGTCTATGAAACTGCTTGGTTATGAAGATGGATTTTGAAAACAGTCAGATAGTAGATTAGAGAAGATGATTCCAGAGGCAAGATCTCCTTTTGTTTTGCAGTTGGAACAGAAGATGATGAAGAGTGATGGAGAAACAACCGAGGAGTCACCCACTGTCTGTTACATGGTGACGCAGTGAATGAGTGAAGTGTTGTTACAGGAGATTCAGATGAGGGGGGTTTACACTGTGGTTCGATTGTCTCGTTACAGCCAAGCTAACACCAGCGAAGGTCATGTACCATTAGTGCTTAATGGACTGGAGTCACGAGACAACAACATGCATTAAGCTCTGGAGAAATCCGTTTTCTTCAACATGAGATCAGCCACGAGAATTAATCTGCAACAAACAGCAGCAGCATCAATAAAGTGATACTGGATACATTTTGATGTGGGAGATTATTTCAAAGACAGAGCTTGATCCTGGAAAACTCACAGATTAAATATGTGACAGCACAAAGAGATGGAACGAGGGATTCGCAGATTGTTAAAGATATATTAATGTTTGTTTGTTTGATTCCATACCTCCTCCTTCTCTTCACATGATCTAAATTTGAATGCAGCATCTTAGTTGATGCAAAATTAGGCCTTGACCCAATTAATACAACAGAAATCACGCAACAGTCATGAGGCATTTCTAAAGGATATAAAGAATAAATCTAGAAAGAAAGATTTATTATCACTATGGTGGTTGTGAGTTTCAAGCATTTGTCACATCATTACATTTCAACAATCCCATGAATGGGAACACATTTTGTGAGCCTGTGGCAAAAAAAAAACAAGCTTGCATTTGTTGTCTATCATATGGCAGGATTCAAACAGTTAATCCAGAGTAATCATGTTATGTATCAGTTCACAGTGGCGGCTCCTGAGCAAACAGGAGCCTGGAAGGGACCATTTTACATATTCAAGAAACTAAAGCCTGAAAATCCCTGTGTTGAGAGATTTAGCCCTCCTGACAGAAAAGGCCTTGAAGACAGCGATCACTTAAACTCTCTTCAGTGTGGCTTCATGTGTGATGACAAGCTCTGAGACACTGTGAAGACGTCCTGGTGGTGGGCTTTCAGAGCATAGACTTAATGTGGCAGGAAAACGGAAGTGAAGTCTTTTGGAAGAATCTACATTTATTCATCGGTTTGTCTTGAAATACGAATTTAAATCCCTTTTAATTACAAACTAGTCAAACTGAGACAAGTCGTTGTCAACAGTGCATGCACCATTTAAACCATATAGAGTCGATGTAAAGATAGAGGACGTATCTCCACCTCCCCCGACTATCCGTGAATCAATTGAATTTGATTGGTACGGCCCATATTCACAAACCACAGAAGTCTCAGGGTGCAGAAGTCTCTCTGCCTTTTCAATCCTTTATGCTGCCATGTTGTGCATTTGGTGCCAGAGTCTGCAGAGAAGTTTGCCAGAGCACTTTGTCACTGCACGATGCTATTGGAAAAATGTTTGTGAATGGTTTTGGAAGAGCACAGAACTATGTATGAGGTAAAATACCAACATTAGAACATCATCCCATCAGCGGAGCACCGTGGAGGCTGCTCTGCTGCCTCTGGACAGCTCGACATCACATGAGACAATGAAGTCTGGAGTTCCTCAAAGTGTGGACAGGACAGTGTCAGCTGGAGCTCAGGAGAAGTTGGGTGACGCAGCAGGACAACGACCCTAAACAAAAGAAATGGCTTTTGGAGAGACTCTAGCTCTAGCTCTATAAGCAACGCACCAGACGTCCTCAGATTATGTCTGAGCTGAAGCAGATCTGTGGGAACAATGGTCCAATCTTCCTCCTGAACACTGTGCAGGTCTGATCTGCAGATTCTGGCTGAGCTTGTTTCAGGTCATCGCTGCCAAAAGAGGTTCGAGCAATTACTGAATCCTACGCTTCACCCACTTTCCCAGCAGCACT